CTGAAAAGCCTTCAGCTGATCCAAAATGCTGCAGCAAGAGTCCTGACAGGGACTAGAAAGAGAGAGCAGATTTCTCCTCGTAAGGAGGAGGACTCCCTTACTGTTATTTATATTATAATCTGTATAGCACTTTAGCAGCACACCTTTCACTTTATTAAAAGCACTTTATTTAGCATCACACTTTAAGCAAGGATCGGGTCCCCCGACACAAACAGAGTAACATAGTGTACGCTAGCTGTTAAGTGCCAGGATTGGCAGGATGTTTCTTTCAGTTGCTGAAATTCCAGATTATCAACACGTACGGAGGAATGTAGTCCTCAGAAAGGACTGAATGCAGCTCGGTTAATCAGGGACCAAAATGTTTGTTTTCTTGAGACAGGACACAAACACTGGAGCTGTGTCAGCTGTTTCAACCAAAGCTCGCTGATGCAGACAGATCTGTTTCTTTTATTATGTACAGACTATCAAATATCATCCTGTGGTTTGCTGAGCATTAGCAAAGTGTGTGCTGTGTGTCGGTGAGGGTGGAGTAGATGTGGTCCTGGTCTGTGGGGGCTGGAGTCATGGTCTCATAGGTGGAGTCACATGTGGATCCTGGAGCTCCGCTCTTCTGCTGGGCTGCAGGTAACTGAAAATATTTAACACATCCAGTTACAGCACATGTATGTATGCAGCTGGTGTTTGCTGCCCTCTAGTGGCAATAATCTGTCATGCAAGGTTAATGTTGTTTTCTAAGTCAAAGCAGGTCACGGAGCCTATTCCAGTGGTGTCCACCCTTGAAGGAAATGTCATAGAGATGGTTCATGAATATAAATACCTTGGTGTCTGGATTGATGACTCCTTCACCTTTAAACCACATGTAGAGAGACTTGTAAAGAAACTGAGACTTAAACTTCGTTTTTTCTTCCGTAATAAGCAGTGCTTTTCTTTTGCAGTGAAAAAACGCCTTGTCACTGCCACCTTTATCTGTGTTAGATTATGGTGACATTCTGTATATGAACGCTTCTTCTTCATGTCTTCTAATGTTGGACACGATGTGTCATGCTTCCTTGAGGTTTATTACCAACTGTAGATATCTGACCCATCACTGTGACTTGTACTTAAGAGTAAAATGGCCTTCTTTGGCCATTAGAAGACAGGGGCATTGGTACACTTTTATTTACAAAGCTATGCTTGGATTGCTGCCTCCTTATATCTGTACTTTGGTCACAAGGACAAATAGTGGTTCTTTCCGCACAGCGCTGGGTAAGAAAGCCTTTGTCCACTCTGTGCCTTTTTCATGGAACCTGTTACAGAAAGACTGGAAACTGACTGAACTGTTGTCTTTAAATGTTTTTAAAACTAAACTCAAAGGCCTACAGACTGCCTCAATAATGTGTAATTGTTTTGTGTAATTTTAACTTTGTTTGTTCGTATGTATTTGTTTGGAAATGTGCTGCCTCTTGGCCAGGACTCCCTTGAAAAAGAGGTTTTTGATCTCAACGGGACATTCCTGGTTAAATAAAGGTTAAATAAAAATAAAACATTGACAGAAACACTGATGGAGTTACCTCCACCTATCTTCCATCTGATTTCCTGTTTTTCCTGTTCTCCATCCATCTGTAGAGGAGCAGCAGGAACCCAGCCGACAGCACGACGATCACAACCACACACACAACCAGAGACACAAAGTAATCTGGACACAGAAGAAGACGACGCTGAGTGGGACGTCAAACAGTCATATGAAAGACTGATTAAAACAAACAGACCTTTGTGCTCTGATGTTAATAAAAGCTGAGGTGGGTGTGGTCCAGGTGGGCGGAGCTGTGAACAGATCCTGAATCAGTGATGACGCAGAGACACGCTGAAGACATGAGACACAGCAGCTCCAGACAGATGTGTACACGAGGTTCTCTCTGACCTCAGATCAGTTTTGGTCCGGAGGAGATAGTTTCTCCATCATGTGTCCATCATCATGTGGCTTCTTCTCTGAGTGATGAAGCTGTAACCTGCAGGTGTGGGCGGCACGCCGAGCTGCTCGCATACGCTGATGTCTGGAAGTCCTGATGCACTGATTTCATCCCAGAGTCGACCCTGCGCACAGAGATTCCTCCAGGATCTGTGAGGACGTTGAGGATATGATGTTCTGTAGATCACAGTGAGGAACATTATTCTGAGACTGTTCCACCGTCTGTAGATGCAGGTTTTTGCACATTGGTGAACAACTGATGATGTTTTTATACTTGATCATGTGACGGACCTGCTGAAAATAACCCGGTCAGCTGCTGCTCCACCTCTTTTTTTCAGCCTTTTTTTCCCCTCAAGTCAATTTTAAGACGTGTTGCTGAAATCAAATTTAAAATGAGTCAGAAATATTGAGGAAATATTAAATGTCTCAGTTTGCTTTTGGGATGTTTTTGGGAATTATGAATTATTTGCTTTTCATTCTAAGAGTTTTTCTAAATTTAAAGCCATCAGGACACATTCAAAAACACGAGGGCTGAACACCAAAGACCGAAAACGCACTTCAGAACTTTTCTGTTCAGTCTTTATTCGACCAAGATACTCAGATTTAAGATGTAGGCACAGGTTAGTGTCATGCCCAGAGTTCTGGACTCACATACAGGGTAAGAGTGAATAAAGAAAGCTGTTCAACATCGTACACTTACATGTGAAAGCTCAGGAAACTGTAGACACAGAATAGATAAATGTCAGCGTCACCTTGGGCCCAACCAGGGCAGTAACGCTCAGGTGCAGGCCTGAGTAACTGCTCTCAGATCATTTCAAATGATCAGCAGGACCAGCTCAGTAAGACAGTTGTGTGTGATGCTGCAAACGTTGGCACTGATGTGATACCAGGTAAATACACGGCCAATTATAAGCATCGATGCCAATACTGATACTTTAACCCACAAATGTAGCTTCTGTGGGGAAGAACACTGTGTCATGAGATCAGTCATCATTCATTTGCATACTTTCAGCTTTTATTTTGAAACTGCTTTTTGTAGACCTGAGTGTAAATGTCCCTGTGTCTCGTCGGGTCAGCTTCTGTTGATTAGATTTAAATAAAACAAACGTGACAACCAACATGAAAAAGATATTTTTATAGTGACTGCGTGGCGTACATTTTTTATTTCCAAAGAAATGACTGACTTAACACAGTTCAGTGAGCTGCATGCTGGACTTGGAAACAAAGTATTGATCGTAGCACACTAGTACAGATCCAGCATCAGTGCTCATACTGATAGCTGGATTTAGTTGATTAGATGATCACAGGTCAGTAAGTACGATGGCAACAGACCAGCAACACTCACAGGAGCAAGAATCAGATAAAGTGTGAAGCATTGCAACGTTTTACTATTAAACACAGTTAAAGAGGAACCATTCAGCTATGTAAAGAATTTACAATACAAAGGTTAATTATGTTTGATACCAAAACACATTATTTAGTGTAATCTTATTTACGGCCTTTTAATGTGAAGCTGGTCAAAGTGGCCTCTTTAATCACATTGTAGCAAAAGTTATTAAGTCATTAGATTAGTGACAATCATGTAACATACGTGATGTGAAATCCAGCGTCTGTAGGGACGGCAGCAAGAGGACAAAGTTCAGGGGTTAGCCTTCATTTACACCCACAGCTCAGAGAGGCGGGGCTTATAAACTGAAGTGATAACAAACATACAGAAATAAAAAAAACTTGAAAATGATAAATATTATAACTGATGTTTATAGTTATACAGTTATAAACATCACAGACGTATCTGTGGATGAGTTTGTGATGGAAACATTTCAGGATTTTACTGGGATGTTACTGATTTGCAGGAAATTGTGTCCGTCTGACTGAATCGCACATGTGACATGTACTGCATGTCGGTGAGGGTTGAATAGATGTGGTCCTGGTCTGTGGGGGCTGGAGTCATGGTCTCATAGGTGGAGTCACATGTGGATCCTGGAGCTCTGCTCTTCTGCTGGGCTGCAGGTAACTGAAAATATTTAACACATCCAGTTACAGCACATGTGTGCAGCTGGTGTTTACTGTCCTCTAGTGGCACTAATCTGTCATGCAAGGTTAAACACTGACAGAAACACTGATGGAGTTACCTCCACCTGTCTTCCATCTGATTTCCTGTTTTTCCTGTTCTCCATCCATCTGTAGAGGAGCAGCAGGAACCCAGCCGACAGCACGACGATCACAACCACACACACAACCAGAGACACAAAGTAATCTGGACACAGAAGAAGACGACGCTGAGTGAGACGTATGTGTTTCAGGGTCATAAACAGAACGTTTTATTGCACTGACAGGATATTAATAAAGCTGCCAGACAGGTGAGTACCTGTGATCTGCTCAGGGAGCGCTGGCGTGGGGGTGGTGCCGGTGGGTGGAGCTGTGAACAGAGAAATGCCGTTAGAGACGTGAGACAGAAAACTAGTCCTGTTCCAGCTGTGAACAGCAGGGGGCGACAGACGTCTCAGTGACTCACTCACAGGAGTCTCTGAGTGCATCACTTCCCTTTTTCTAAGGAAGTCAGCTCTCAATAAAAGAGGAAATCTGTGTGTCAGTGAAGCTGAAAGTTCCTGAAAAAGCCATCGTGTTGATGCTGAGAAAACACAAACACTCCTAAAATAACACAAAGACTATTTCAGAGCATCCATGTGATGGTGTCACTTCCCCTTTCAGCAGAAAGAAGAGTGGCGCCTGTCCAGTATTCAGGCCTGTTTATACCAATCATTACATGTCATTGTTGCAGCTGGGACCGCCACACCTGGCCCTGACACGGTTTGGCTGTACGTGCTGAGAACTGAGCCTCCACATGTGACGAGTGAAGAGCGAGTGCGTGGATTTCCCCCGTGCCGGCTCCCTGTTAAACCCAAAATCAAACTAAATGAACAACATAAAGAAGCAGAGCTGTGATGATGACTGCATGACGTTTTCAGGCTGACGCATGAAGTTGGGTTTGAATAAAAATGATTTGGGATCCAGTAACGACTCACCTGACACCGTGAGGCGTATCTTTGCGGCGTCGCTCTGACCGTGTTTGTATACGATGGTGATGATATATTCCCCGCTGTCCTGCTGCGTCAGCGCGCCCAGGGTCAGGTGGCCGTTGGCTGCATTAATCCACGCTCTGCCCTCGTAGGACGTGTTCAGTCTGAGCGTGGAGGAGCTCACTGAGGCAACGGTTATGATCTCCTTCCCATCATAGAAGTGCCAGAACAGAGCCGAGCTCTGCAGGTCCTGAATCGGCGTTTTCAGCGTCACGTTGCTTCCGACACCTGCGTGCACGGAGCTTTCTGACAGGATCCTCTGACCCACGCAGCGCCCTGCAGGGACACAGGTCACATGACGCACCATCAGCGCTGTGCTGATTATACCGCCGTGACCTCTGACACTAACAGCTGTGCCACACCTTTACCACAGGAAGCAAAAACAGCAAAGCTTTCAAAGTAAAACCGAGCACCAAAACCCACTTTATGTAAACATGTTCACATTTGCAGCTGTCCTCTCCACAGTGGATCCGTTTCACACGTTTTCACTCCTGATTTCAGTTTGTTTGTTTCCTGTAAATCTGCTCCGAGGTCACATTTACAACCTTCCTCAGAGCTCCTTCCTTCAGCTGAGAGCGGGGTCAGCTCTGAGGAGGGCCGGACTACAAGCCCAGACCAACGGCTTCTCTTTACCTCTGTTTACCTGCTGGATCACCATGGTAACAGCAATGGTCACGCTCCAGCAGATGAACCAGGTTTGGGATAACCTCCGATAAATACCCGTGTTTGTTGGAGGTTATCCCAAACCTGGTTCAGGCTTCAGCGCGACTGCTTCGCGTTAACTTCAGCGGAGCTCTGACCAGGACGGGTCAGAGCTAAAGGGCAGCAGCTTCAGCCTTTATAATAACTAAAATATTAAACATTCAGCGCTGAGATGCTTAAATTCTTACCGATGGACGCGAGCAGACACAGGAGGGCGACCCGAGCCATGGTGGACGCGTCCAACGTTCCCAGCTGAGGACTCGGCTCTGGTTTCCTGATCTTTCTAGCAGCTCCGACTTACAGCCGAAGAGGAAGCTGGTCCGTGTTTTCTGCAAACGCTGGCACATTTCAGGGTTTCTAGAAAATCACCAAGCAAACGAGGAAGCGTCCGAGCCTTCATGGCTGCACGGGCCTGAAGCCCACAGCTGGGGGAAGTTTGGTAATCACAGGAAGGATGATGTCAGCGATCCCACTGCGACCTCTCCGACATCCTTGGTACACCTTCCAGCACGACCACACTGACCCTCAGTTTCACGCGTAGACACACATACAGAGGACGTCTGAAAGTGTTTCTGAACCTGCGAGCATTCAGGCACAGCGGGCGGAAGATGTTTGGATCCAGGAGGACTCTTCAGACAGAAACCGAGGAGCTTATGAAGCGCTTTGTTCATCAGGAACCCGATGGTCGCCCTCGCAAACATGAAACCTCCACCATCATCATCAGCAGAGTCCAGCTCTAACACATTAACGGCAGTTACAACATTACTAAATCTATGAAGGGTCCAAATGAGACTCCAGTGTGGGTGAAACATGTTTCCTGCAATCAAGAAACGTGCTGGCTTCGTTTGTCAGATTCAGACCTGTTTGATGATGAAATCACTCACCATCACGTCCTGAAGACTAAAACATTATTTACCACAAAGACACCAACACATTAAACGAGTCTGTCAGTGTTTCAGCTCTTTATTAAATAACAAAAGGTCAGAAAATGAAGAACAGCTGGAAAACAAACCAAGAGGCAGTGCTGCCATCTGGTGGACGTCAGTGAGGACGCGCTCATGCTAAACTACAGGAGTCCAGCTAATACTGTTTCTGATGTGGTGACTGAGCCGCCCTCAGTGTTACATTTGCATATTTATTTATCTCACAAAGAGGAAGACGTGCAGTTAAAGGACATCCTGTAAACCTCAGTATCAGCCGAGCGATGAGCTAATCCTCCTAACGAGTTCATCGGAAGCTGCACTGTGTGACACACCTGTGAGACGCCGGCCTTCTCCTAAACACAATAATAATAATACATGACCAGGATATGTTTGACCTATCAGGTTTAAGTTATCCTAACATCAGGTGTGTGGGGGCGTGGCCACAGGAAGGTCAAAGTGCTTTATACTGTTTGACAGCAACAGGGAAGCAGCAGGTACAAAACTGTTTCTGAGGATCTGTATTTCATACTGGCCCCTCCCACGTGCTCCTTCTCTTCCAGAGCACTGATTGGTCACTCAGCAAAGGTTACACCTGGTTGAGCCACAGAGCCAAGATCACGCATCAGTCCCAATCATCCTACGCATGCTTTATCAATAACACAAGCTCACCTCACAGGAGCCTGTCACCTGACCGCAGTCAGCTGATCAGCAGCATGTGCGACGTGGACGACAAACACGTGACTCTAATTACTCAGCAATGCACGACTGCACGTCGGATCCAGGAGGTTACGAAGCTGCCTCCCTCCCACCTGCAGCAGGTGTGACCACGCGTGTGATGTCACACAGAGTGCGGACACGCTGCTGCTGCCGGTGTACGGACAGCGTTCCCGACGGCGTCCGTGTCACGAGGTCGTTCTTGCAGTGAAAACAGGAACACGCTGGTTTCTGCTGATGTCTGAATAAAGTTTTGATTCCACCGTCAGGCGAGGGTGAGCGACGGGCTGGCTGAGCTGTGACGCCACGCCGAGCTGTCATCCTCGCGGCGTTCACGTCTTGCTGCTTTCGGCAACACACTTGTGCTTTTTGACCTGCGAATGCCACGTGAACCTTTTGTCGCACACGTTGCACTTAAAGGGCTTCTCCTCCGAGTGGACGGCCATGTGCGTGATGACGTTGGCCTTGTTGGTGAACTTCTTGGCGCAGACGGAGCAGCTGAACGGCTTCTCGCCCGTGTGCACCCTCATGTGGTTGACGAGCGTGTTGCGCAGGCTGAAGCTCGTGTTGCACACGGAGCAGGTGAAGGGCTTCTCCCCGGTGTGCACGCGCAGGTGTGTGGTGAAGTTGGAGCTCTTGGAGATTTTCTTGCCGCAGAACGGGCACGTTTTCTCCCCCGTGTGGCTCTTCATGTGGCTCTGCAGGTGGTTCTTGCCTCCGAAGCGTTTTCCGCACTCAGAGCAGCTGTAAGGTTTCTTGGCTAAGTTACTTCCTGCGTCTCTCACAGCGTCCTCTGACGGCGGTTTCCCGCTCTGCACTGGAGCGTCCTCTGGGGCCCCGGTGTCAGAGGAAGTCCTGACAGGCTGCGGGTGGAGGTTTCTGGCTGCTTCTGGTCCTGCTCGATCCTCTCCACCAGCTCGTGCCTGCAGCTGGCGGCTGCTGAGCTCGCTGCGGGTGTGAAGGAGGTCGGGGGACTGAGTGCTCTCTTCCACCTCCTCTTCAATCTTCACGGTGACGGGAATGATGGTGAGGTCCTCGTGCACTCCGGGCCGCTCTCCCGGCTGATTGGTCCAGAGCCCCTCACGTTCATCTTTGACTCGTGGCGGTTCTGGACTCTCCCGGTGCAGACCGGGGCTCTTCTGCTCCTGTGATGCTCCTTTATCCGCCGTAAACTTTGTGGGGCTCAGGGGAGACCCTGGATGACACAGAGGGAGGAAACGAGCACTGGTTAGCCCAACAGACCAAACGTGACCAGCAGGGGGCGCTCCTCTGGAGCTATGAGTACGTCTGTCCCATTCACTGCTTTCAGGCTGACTGAATAAAACATGAAGTTCATTTTGGACATTTTGGTTTTGTTACAGAGGACCAGACAGCAGGATTAGTTACCATGGTTACGTCCATCTAAGAGTGCACGGTCATGTGATTAGTGTCGTGTAACACGGTTACTCATAAACAGTTACTGTCTTCTTTTTGGGGGGGTTAACTTTCAGTATATCATTTAAATGAAAAATAATGGGGCTGCGGTGACATCACTGCTGAACCATAGTGGCTCCTTTAGGTGCTGAGGGGGAGGTGTCAGCTGCAGCCCCACAGCTGTCCCTGTGGGGCTGCAGGTGGGGCTGCAGGTACACACACTCACCTGCACCGTTAGTGAAAACATGCTGCTGCTCCATCCACAACACCAGAGAAAAATTATTCTCCATGGTTACTGTTCCTACGGAGACACATCTCACCTGCACCCAACTTACAATTAAACTGCCTAGTTAAAATTTACAACATCTGGAACAGCTGCTTATCCTTTCCAACGACAACAACTAAATAATATTAATTATTATTACTATAAATATTATAACAAAAGTAATATTTTTATTAGTATTGTTGTTATTTTGTTGTTGTTATTATAAAAGAATAACATGAATAACAATAACAAAAATTGTCATTATTCATTCATTATTGTCATTATTAATAACAACAACAATGGTGATGATGACGATAACAATAACGACCACATCAATGGTGTTAGCCGTCCGGTCTGTCTCCGGTAACCCACCGTGCGGGCCCCCCCGGCTCTCGGCAGGGTGTCTGTCCGGCTGCCTGCTCCTATGCAGGCGGATCTCCTGCTCGTACTCCTCCATTGTCCTCTCAAACAGCGCGAAAATCTCCTCAGCGGCTGCGTTGAGCCGCTGCTTCACCAGCGCTCTCAGCACCTCAGCCTTCGACATTTCCCCGCCGTCAGCCGGACACGCAGATTCCGAGCCGAGCCGAGCGGGTCTGCGGCTGCGCGCAGAAGGTTCGGAGGACAAAGTCGCAGGGAGCACCGACACCTGCCCGCTAACCTCCCCAGGCCCTAACCCTGACCTCACCTGTGTTTCTTTACTGGGACGGAACACACCGAGCCTGTCTAATCCGAACCGGAAACCCGACTGCTACTAATTTGTTCTGCACATGCGCTGAACAAACTACTTCCCCTTTTCGACTTTTCATAATAAAAGCATTCTTTTAGCGCGATTCTCATATGGACACCCCGCACTCCCGACCCTAAAATGGATAAACGAGAGGATTGATGGATGGACATGTCATTGTGTTCAGTATAACAACAAAGTGCTTGACATACATCAAAATTACTAGAAAATGAGGTGTAATAAATAAGAACATACTTTACAGGAGAGAGGATCAAAGTTGGGAGACTTTTTATTTAATAATATTGTATATTCATTTTTTTCAGCTTGATAAGATTGTAAATACGTTATACGTTAATGCCAGATATGAATTGGACAGTTCATACAGTCCTACATATGAAAGCAGTCCGACATATTTGTTTACAGTTTTTTACAGCCGCTAGGACACATTTCTCAATACTTAGGTCACTTTTGCAAAACTCTTCACACAATCCTCCTAACTGACCTTCAGCTTGACAAAGCAGTTCATTTCACATTCAAAATGCACCACAACTACCAAAACACTTCATTCAGGTCTCAAATAAACTCATTCTTCCAGAACACTAGCAAAGGTTGACAGCCGACAAACACACTTTGTCACCCACAAAACAATGACCT